TGGTCTCCGAAGAAGTGACACACCTGTGTAGGATAAGCATTGGGTACTAACTGAAGGTATGCGGCCCATGTTCGGTGGATAGTGTGGAGTAGCTTGTGGAAGCATTTCACCAACATTACTACCATAGGCATATTGCGAAAATAGTGCTTGGTTTTCTGCATCGTATCTGTTCTAAATTTTCTACCGCCCCAGATCCACCCGAACCAATGAAAATGTGCGGGGATTCGATCTGGGGCTGATCTGGCTCGTGGATGCTAATAAATTCAAAAATTTTCAAAAATCATTTTGAGCTCTAGTTTTGCAAAAAAGCAGATTGAAATGTATCTTATAAGCTTGTTTGAAAACTACAAATGGCAATGCACAGGTAAGTTTGTAGTCTGTGTTTCGCCCCTTAGCTGTAAATGCTGACAGAGCATCGAATGCGAGTAGGAATGGGAATCGTTCTTATATGTAAATTTGAACTGTAATTAAAAACAGCTCGATTTTGATTTAAGTGACTCAGTTCTGCAGAAAACGACTTCGGATAAATTTTGATGGATGAAATTTGCTTGGATGAAAATGCTTTTCGAATCAAGCCTCAAAAATCGATGAAGGTGTGATATTCAAAAGCCAATGGAATCCAGAAAGACACTAAGAAGTACAGTCTGGGAATATTGAATTGATCGACCGTTAAAATGATCAGCGCTACGCTAAATGCTTTCAGGATTAAACTAAATGCTAACTTGAGCTCAATCCGCAGCCGCTGTAGAATTTCCATTCCAGCGCATTGATGGTGGTAAAAAATATGAGTACAACAATGGTCACCGAAAAGTATGGCTTCAGGCGATTGGCATTGCGCGTCAAACCTTGGTCAATGATGCGGGAATGCTGAATGTGGGCCTAAAAAACATTTTCTGTGAGCTTCCGGAACATTCTGTTTCTACACAATTCAAAAATTCTGAGAGGGTTTTTATCAATTGGAAATCTTAATAAAAGAATTTTTTATCGAAAGACTAAGAAAAATAAATTTAAAATTTCTTGAGGAAAACATGAACTATTAATAGGCATGGTACAAAGCAGACACCGCTGCACTCATTCTTAAAATCGAAAGTCCGATTCCGGGAGTGGAACAATCAGCCTGTCTGCTATTTGTCCATTTATTTCAACGGTAAATTGGTACTGGCGCATGTCAGAAAATTAAATCCATCGTCAGCTTGCCTCTAGAAACCCTAAAAATGCATGGCTACCAACTGCCTTGTCAACGGATGGTTTCTGTTTGACATTTGCTACTACTCAAACTATTTTCTAGCACCTTTATTCGGCTAAAAAATAAATATGGAAGTTTTAGACCTTTAATTTGTTAATAACTAATTCCAAGATCACACTTAGTACTAATGCACTGTAAATTTAATTATTTTGCAATTACAAGGCAACAGCACGTATTTCAAGTACCACGCCCAGGTCTTCCAGATCGATGTCATACTAATCGCATTCATAGAGCGCAAAAATTATACTTAACTCAATCAGCGGATCGTTGGAAAATTTGTCAACAATAAAGCTTGCTGCAGCATCTTCCCACGCTATAGCCATTTCATCAAATTCCGGTGTATCGAATCGCAAGAAATACCACAATCGCATGCCTTCTGCCCACTGCAATTGCGGCAAAACATTGCGCAAGGATAGAAAAATGATACAGACATTACTAACTTACCATGTTTTGAGACAAGACTGTCTGAGAAAGAGATGAGAAATACTGTAATTCAACTTAAGTTCCATTAGAATCAGCTAGAAGAATGGAAATTATTAAACAACTGTCATACCGCGGCAAAATTTAGGAAATAATCATGGTTTTTTGATTTCAATAAGGCAAAAATTTTTTTTGCTAGAAAAATTTTCAGAAAGAAGGCTTTCTAAGAGAAGTTTCCTGGTTAATTACTTTAAAAATGCAACAAATAAGATTTGCCAATAATATGGTAAATAACAAAACCGCCAGGCCATCTAATGTGGAGGCCCCATGTTAGTGACGCTACTAGAATGCTTCGATTTGCTGTTAAGGAACGCAGCTTAGCCAGAATTTAGTTTAGCTCTGTTTGGAAAAATATGAATTTTATGCTAAATATGAAAAAGCGCTAAGTTAGTACTGGCGCGTGCTAGACAAACGAAAGTGGATAACAAGAATATAAAATTTTTCTTCGAAAAAATATGCTGTGTTTTACGGCAACTAAAAAAGGGAGTAGGGAGGAGGACTGAACTGCATACCTGCCTTTTTTGGCTACTCCGGGTGGATTAGAGATAAGTATATTTTAGAGGGGGTACTAGTTTTAGTTAAAAAGAAGTGGATTCCGGGGACATCAGCTGCCGCTTAATAGAACTTGCACATCCACACTATGTCAAAAACTCTCTCCGTATTTGCTCTCTATGAGAAGTGGAAGTGGCTGAGAAGTAGTCCGAGTGATAGCAAACACCAACAGCAGCCAACTAGCTAACATGAGTGCTGATAGCTCTCTCTTTCGAAGGTTGCTTACAAGCAAACTAGTGGCGGGTTGAACCCCTGAGATATGTATGTAGTACCAATTTACAGTTAAAAACAAATGAACGAATCCTAGAAAGATTGCCACGGAATACGAATTTATTAATGTGAAGTGGAATTGTAAAAACACTTTTTCATGAATCTTAAAATAAAAATTGAAAAATTTAATATTAAGGAATGTCG